TACATTGCTGAAATACATCATGGTTACCATGGTCAATTTAGGTTGTCCAATCCTGTACCTGGAGAGATACCTTCCGGCTGTCACATATATGTTCAGGTCTGTTTGGGTTTTGTTCTAGTTCTCATTGTTCCTGTGTTTGACCCAATATTTTTTGTTCCAATTTTCCCACCACTGCTTAATTTATATGATTTCACATAACTGTAGTTCACAGATGTTTCTGCTTACCCTGATTAGTTATCTGTGTATTTAAGCCCTGTGTTTAGTTCAGTTGAGTTGTCCATTATTTTTGCTTTTTTTTTGTTGTTGTCCAGTCTTGTGTTTCATGCATCCTGAGTTTTGTTTTATATGTGTAATATTATTGCAAATAGATCCTGCTTCTACTACTTTTACAACCAGCTGTGACACCAGCAGAGTCTAGGTCCAACCCTACACCAACACACCTGTCTTAATTAGCTGGTTCAGGTGTGTTTGATTACAGTAGGGTAGGAGCAGAACTTTGCAGGAAGGTTGATCTCCAGGAACAGGATTGAGCACCCTTCTGTTAAACAATAGAAATTGTTAAACAATAGAGAATTTTTGTTTCGAGCTATTTAGAAATAACTACAGTCAAAAACTACTGACAGATAATAGGTTCTGGAACTAAAAGTCCTATTCAAATCTTCATAAAAAATATGTTTATGCACTACCAATCATTCCAATACCTTCCCAGAACTTCTTAAGCAATGATATACTGTATGATTCCATATAAGCAATTAATCTGATTTAAAATTTATATTTTAATAGCCAAATTCTAGGTGTAGAATTACATTATCCAAAATTCTAAAAAGAGCTTGCTCAATTAGAAAATAAACGTTTAAGATGGCAATGGGAAATGCATCTAGCAAGACTATCTAGATGATGTTAGCTAGTGACTGCATATATGATATGGGATTTTATAGTGCTAGAACATAAAACAGCAATAAGTTGTCTGACAAAAAAATGCATTTTAAAAACAACAAAGCACAGACTAATTCAATTACACAGTTTATAGTACTTGATCCCAGTAAGATGTTTGCAAAAACACACCTGAAAAATAGTTCATTCTAAAATCGTGTGTACAAAATGTTAAAATGGTTAAACATTAATAAATAAAAAAATAAAAATAAAAAATAATAATTTCAGAACCAAAGCTTAGTAAATGTGGGTGGTCACTGATGAGCTCTATTAGAAATCATACTAAAACAAACACTGTTGATCAATAATGTATAATTATAGAAAGATGGCATCCATTTTATACAAAACAATTCTAACTCTTACAATTTTGATTGTCCATGTCCACTTTAGACAATCTACAAAATATAAGTAACTTTGCAATTACATGTCCACTAACTCACTATTAGGCTAGGGTTAGGGTTAGTAGAATAAGTTGATATATACTTGCAAAGTTACTTACAGTTTGCATAATGCTTGTTGAGGGACCATCAAAATACATTTTTAGCAGATATTAAGCAGACTGTCTACTAATACTCTTTTTGACTGGTAGTTGATGAAGTTGCAAAAGTTACTTATAGTCAGTGGAATATCTAAAATGGACTGTCAAAATAAAGTGTTACCAATTTGGACACCAATTCATAAACACAAACAATGTTTTTGCAGATTACAGACTATGACTTTAAACCTGTCAGATTCAAGGGGTGCCTACAATTTTTTATTCCACAGTGACCACAGTTCCACAGTGTTTAAATGTGTCCAGGTCTCAGACCCACCACTGGCTTTGGCTCAGTCAGAGAGGCATGCGCTGGCTCACTGCCACAGCCTTCCTCTGGGACCATCTCCGCTGGCTTCTCTTGGATCTTACTAGAGATCTCCTGCCGAATCCTACACATCTGCTCCTGAAGCTCGCTAATCAGATTCACTACACTCTGTCAGAAAGGAATAGCAATAGGGAAGAACAGATAAAAGAAGGTAAGAGAAAGTGGAAAGAATGGATTATGGGAAGCAGACATGCAGTGTTTTCCTCCTGTCTGTGTTCTCCGGGTTGCTTGAATAATTAGATTATTATATCACTTGTCTGTTTTCTAGATGTAACCTCTGATATATCCTTTCCTCATGTGCTTTTCTTTTCCCGACCATTATCAATCATGCATGGTAACATAATGTAATATGAATAATTATTAGTCAGTGTCATTACACATAAACAGTTTAGTACCACTACAAACAACATATTCATAGTTTAAATATAAGTGTTATATATTTTTCAGAATTGCACTTTTACATACAGTCACTGGAAGTTGTGTCTCTAGACTGATTGTCTGCATGAGGTGTCAATTCATTACAGCATCCATTTCTGTATATTATGGGTACAACTTAGCGATTGTAAAGGTTAACCTGCGTGTTAGATTAACTCTTCAATCTAACTAAGAAACTCAAACATACTAGTTTAAAATAATATAACAATGTTATATAAATGTTCCTAAATGTCCCATTAAAAACAAAAAAATAACACTTTAGTTTAGGGACCAATTCTTGCTATTAACTATTTGCTTATTAGCATGCATGATACTAGCATACTGGCTGTTTAATAGTACTTATAAAGCACATATTAATGCCTTATTCTGAATTACCATATTTTAGCTCCATTAATCCTACTCTATACCTAAACTTAACAACTACCTTGCTAACTAATAAGCAGCAAATTAGGAGTTTACTGAGGCAAAAGGCATAGTTCTGTAGTTACTTAATATTGAGAATACCCAAACTAAAGTATGACCAATAAAAAACTGTACTACAAATGTAGTCTTTTTTGTTTGTTTGTTTGTTTTAACAAGGTGAGTACTCGATAACCAAAACTATTAAAAAGTTACATAATCATGAGAGCATGCTAGTTTCTTACAAATTAGTGTTTCTTTCATTCTGCTTTTCCAGGACACTCTGTTGGTTTAATGCAATGGACCATTTCAGGATCATTCATGAACATCATTCAACAGCTCATCTACTAGTCTTTTATACAAACCGCAATGAGAAAACATGCTGTCTGCTCCTATCAGCCTGGGCTTTCTGAAATATTCTTTTAGACCAGTAAATATCTCACTGACCCATTTCACACAAGCCAAGGTCTCAAATACAAGAACATTTGTTTAAGAGCCAAGTAACTAAATTTCTTTTCCAGGATATACTGTATGGGTAATCATGATTTGAACACAAACCAGTTTCCAATGTGGTGTTTGAAATAACTTAATCATCTGGGTACTAATCTTTAAAAACATATCAAGTTAAGTCAAGTCAAGTCAAGTCACCTTTATTTATATAGCGTTTTTAACAATACAGATTGTGTCAAAGCAACTGAACAGCATTAATTAGGAAAATAGTGTCAATAATGCAAAATGACAATAGTAAACACAAATTTTTCAGTTAAAGACAGTTCATCATTGAATTCAGTGATGTCAACATCCAGCTCAGTTTAAATAGTATCTTTGCAATCAAGTCAACGGTATCGCTGGAAATGAAGTGTCCCCAACTAAGCAAGCCAGAGGCGACTCACAATTTACTCACAATTTAATGCATAAAGCTGTCATTAGGTGAGGAACTTGGCTTTCCTGTGTGAACCATAATGGCTTTATAACCTATAATACCCACTTAACTTTTAGTATGTCAGGCACCAAAAGTTATGACAAAAATAACTGTAACTTTCAAAAGCAAAGACAGCCATGAAGTTGATAAAATAAAATAATAATAATAATAACCTGTCAAACAGACTTCTGTAGCATCTTTTACATCAAAGTAGCCTGTGTTCTAATAAAAGTTAAAAATTATGTACCAGCACGTGGATGAAAGAACTTTCATGTGAGACGCCATGTGACACCAACAGCATGGTAAACTAGATGGTAAACTGGCCTATCTATAGCAGGTAGAAAGCCAGGACCTCGTAAGTGAGAGAGAGAGAGAGAGAGAGAGAGAGAGAGAGAGAGAGAGAGAGAGAGAGAGAGAGAGACACCACAGATATA